GGAGCTTCTGCTGCTTCCCTAGCTGGCGCAGGGAGGCATGGGCTGTAGGCGTGGCACTGCTGAGAGTGGGCACTATGCCCTGCTGCCACTTGCCCCCTTCTGCCTGGAGCAAGCTGCACCCGCATCCCTTCCTGCTCCCCCACCCCAGCTGGGCAAGCAACAGCAGGTCATAGCCCCACTCCAAGTGCTACCGCACTCGCATTCCCCACCCCCAGTCCTGCACCCCCCCACCCTGGCTGGGCAGCTTGTCCCAGCCTCAACCCCAATCCTTCCCTCCCCTACATCTCTTCCCACCCTCCTCTGCCCACAACAGACTTACCAGCTGGAGGCAGCTTTGTCCAGTGTGGTGAGGACTGCTGCCTGTTTGGTCTACGGCCAAATCTCTGAATCGGCCAAATCTTTTCCGAATCGATTTGGAGTCTTCTGATTCAATTTTGAGGTTTTAATTGGTCTCCTGATTTGATTCGGATTCAGAGATTCGGTCGCCAGATCAGGCCGAATCTCTTCTGAATTAAATCAGCTACTGAAGCTTTGCACAGCCCTACTATCTGCGACTTCTGTTTAGCTGCAGCTGTATTCCCATGGTATGTTTCTAAGTCTAAGATATACAGTACTATGTTTGTGGATCACTGTTTTATTGTAACACTAGGAGGTTTCTTTTCTTTTGCTAAAGCTTCAATATTTTTTTTAGAATTGGAGATTTCTAGGGTGGCTTAGCAACTGAAGTGAAGTCATCTCCTATCTGCAAATTAATAGCTAGTTGATAGTGAAACATGTGAAAACTAGAATCATGATTCACGGTCTGGCAGAGGACTTTCCACAGGGGCTTACGGCAGTTTTTCAAGCTTTCAGACTGCAGTCTGTGAAGTTAAGTAACAGTTTTTTGCAGCTGGCAAAGTGTCTCAGTGCATGCTCCAGGAGACCTGTTCCGGAGGGCTGACCCCCTCAGCCTTGGGATACTGTGGTGGAGATTTACTTCCCTATTGTTGACAGACTCCTGCTCAGAAACTGATGAGCTGCTTTGAAGAACTGAGCCAGTAGATTGGGTGGGGAGAAAGGTGATATGGTAGGAGCATTTTTGTTGAGAATGGGAAGGAAAAATAAAAAAACCCAATACCATGCCATTCAACCAGATGATCAAGGAAGCTGAATTTCAACAGAATTTCATTAGCTCAACAAATGTATTTGTTGCAAGAAACAAAAGGAAGTTCCAGGTACACAGCTTTTAGATCAGAGTTATTTTTATCTTATTTAAGGTTCAATATTATCCTTTGTAATCGGCCCCTTTAGCCTTAGAAATCAAATACACCTACGGTCTTAAGCCAGCTGCAGCTTGTGCCACACAAACCTATGGCTCTTTTGAAGGTTGTGTTGTTGTGATGGACTTTGTGTAAAACCTCCATTATAGGTGGTGGTTTTACTCTTGTTTAGAATAAAAATAAGAAATGGTGAAGCCACCATTTTTGGAACAAGCTGAAGTGGTATGTGCCTTGCTTTGGTATGTAACTTAATAGGAACTATCAAGTTAGAAATTGAGTGTTGGGTGTGAAGAGACATTTTTTGACTGCATGAACAGGAGCAGGGAGGTAGGGGACTTTGTAAATAAACAGGATTGCATCAAAATACCTGAACCCACCAATTTCTCCTTCTGTCAACAAGAGAACAATTTACAAGACCTCCCACCCAACCCCCAGATATTGATTACCTGCTTGGGTCAAAAGGGGTAAGAATAGTCACAGCAGCAATGTTATGAGACTTGCTGTTATAGCACATAATAAAAGTGCCCTTTTAGTAGAGAGAGCATTGAAAAGTGAATAAATTAGCTTACTCTTGATGCAGGAATCCTAAACTTTTGCTTTGCATCCAGAACCAAAGCAAAGCTTAAGGGTTTGTTTTGCCATTGTGCCTGCCTTGAGCAGGACAGTGCCTTTCACTCATTGGGGAGGCAGCGAGTGGGGGAAGAGCAGGCGGGGGACAGATAAAGCTAACTAGATGGTTGAATGCTGTGCATGAGATGCTTCCTGAAAGGATTAGCCTGCAACCAGTCACTAAGGGTGAGATTGGTTTGGTTTTTTCCCCCTCCCCCGCAAGTCTTGTTCACTTGGTAAAGAGTATATACAGGACTCCTCTGGCTAGTCTGTGGAAGATAAAACATTAACATGGAAACAACTGAACTTTCAAAACTACCACTTATGAAGCAAAATCAGTCCCTCGTGTTTGTAATACAGACATAAAGACAGAGTTCCTAAAACATGCTTTATTGATTATTTTGTTGCTCAATTCTCAGTGCACTAGAAGACTGGCTCTTCTGCATTAAGCTATTTTTTTGCTGATTCTTTTGTAGGCTACACTGGCAGCAACAGAAATCTGGAATAAAGAACAAGCAAAAATTTTGGTTGAATACAGTAACTCGAAGTTTGCTGTGATTAAAACATCTGTTAGCCCCCATTTTGCTGCAAAATGTGATGTTTTCATAAAAGGTCCAATAGACTAAAATGCTTCACTCCAAAATGCTCTAGTCTAAAATACACTGTGCAAAGACATTTCTGATAACTACTGCTTCAAGCTATCAATTTCTATGATGTGTGGCAGTACTTCCAAGGAGTGATTATGGTTCTAGTTCAGCAAAGTGGCTAAGAATACCCTTAACTTTAATTACATGAACTGTTTCCACTGAAGTTAATTGAGAATTATTATAGCCTTAAATATAGTTGGGCAAGTGATAATTTAAACATTTTTCAAAATGTCCATCATAGGGGCTTTTTTTTTTATTTCAACTCCTGAAGAGTATCTAACTTGCACCTGACTGCATGCAGTTCAATAAGACCATGTCTACAATGTGACACTAGGAAGCACTGGCATAAAAACACTTCCCACTGGTCAGGCTGGAGGCTGCAAGTAGAAGAGGAATCGGGGAAAATCCTAGTCGTACCCAGTTCATGCTCTCTTTCAGCATTCACTCTCTGCCACGGTGTGACAGGATACTGACCCTATAGTCTGACCCAGTAAATGGCAGTTCCATTCTTGTATGTTTTACATGTGTACTCCTCTATGCATACTGAATGCTGAAAAAAAGTAATGTAGCAAATTTTGGGTATGCAGCTAGTACTGCTTTAATGGTGGTTACATTAACAGTGGTTTGGCATTTGGTGTATAGAGAATAGAAGTGGGCAGCCTGAGTTGTCACGGTGGCAAACATTAAATTCAATGTACACCTTCCATAAAAGTAAATCAAGAAAGACTGCACAGCTTGGGAACACTGGCCAGCTAGATTTATATTTTGTATTTCACATGGCTACAGGTGCCTTTACTGACATTTTACATATTGCCCATTAAAAAGTTAATTTATTTTTTGAATTTTAGGTGGAACAATAGAATTATACTCCTTACAACCTCAATGCAACATTTATGCTGCCAAGGCTGCAGGAAAGAGCTGTTTAAAAATTCTGCTTTCTGTAAAGAGGTTTTTTTAAATTAAAACTTAACAAAAACATTTCCTTCAGTCCTTAGGCTTTGTCCCTTATGAAGTTTCTTAGAGCTTATCAAGATGTTTAGCAACTTACCTCAACTAGCTTTCCTCCAGCTATCTCTGCAGTATGGTGATAGTTGGGGAAATCTACCACCACTTTGCCATTTTCCATTTTAACTGTTGCCTGTAAGAATGTGCAAGGACAGCCCCATGAACAGAGGTAATGATAGGTATGTATCATACACAATATATTTGAAACAGTCTTTAGACAAGATACTAATAAATCCATATGCTACAGATACAGCTGTTGTATGTAATCTGGTATGTGAACACTATCAGAAATGTATTGCTTTAGCTCTTGGATTGGACCAGTTAAGATAAAATTTAGCTAATAGTAGTAGCAAGTTTCCTGTCTTCTCTGTGGGTCAGCCACTAAAGGAGAAATAATATTAATTTACATATCCAAAAATGGCTAGGCTGAAGAGCAACTTTAGCAAGGCTTTCGATATGATCTCCCACAGCATTCTTGCAAGCAAACTATGGGTTGGAAGAATGAACTGTAAAGCAGATAGAAAATTGGCTGGATCCTTGGGCTCAACAGATAGTGATCAATGGCTTGATGTCTAGTTAGCAGCCAGTATTGAGTGGAGTGCCCCAAGGGTTGCTCCTGGGGCAGGTTTTGTTCAATGTCTTCATTAACAATCAGGAAGATGAGCTGGATTGCACCCCCAGCAAGTCTGCAGATGACACCAAGCTGTGGGGAGCAGTAGCTAATGCTGGAGGGTAGGGCTAGAATCCAGAGTGAACTAGACAAAATGAATGATTGGGCCAAAAGAAATCTCAGGTTCAACAAGGAGAAGTGCAAAGTCCTGCACTTAGGATGGAACAATCCCGTGCACTGGTACAGACTAGGGGCTGACTGGCTGGGCAGCAGCTCTGCAACAAAGGACCTGGGGGTTACAGTAGACAAGCTGAATATCAGTCAGTAGTGTGCCTTTCTTGCTAAGATGGCTAGCAGCATACTGGGCTGCACTGGTAGGAACGTTGCCAGCAGATCTAGGGAAGTGATTATTTCCCTCTTTGCAGTGGTGAGGCCACATCTCAACTGCAGAAAGGATGTGGACAAGTTCGAGAGAGTCCAGTATTTAATGGAAATGGTTAAGGAGCTGGGGCACATGAATTATGAGGAGAGGCTAAGGGAAACAGGCTTATTTAGTATGCAAAAGAGAAGAAGACTGACAGGAGATTTGACAGCAGTCTTTAGCTACCTGCAGGGTGGTTCCAAAGAGGATGGAGCAAGACTGTTTTCAGTGGTGACAGATGATAGTACAAGGAGAAATGGTCTCAAGTTGCAGCAAGAGAAGTTTAGGTTGGATACTAGAAAAAACTCCCTCGCTAGGATATTAGGAAAAACTCTCTCATTAGGAGAGTGGTGAACCACTGGAACAGATTACCTAGAAATATAGTGGAACCTCCATCCTTGTAGGTTTTTAAGGCCCTGCTTGACAAAGCTTCTGCTGGAATGATCTAGTTGGGGTTGGTCCTGCTCTGAGCAGGGGGGTTGGACTAGATGACCTCCTGAGGTCCCTTCCACCCCAATTTCCTATGCTGTACTAAATAGTGTGACTACAGCTTGAAGAGACCGATTTTATCTAGCTTTAAGCTACTGTATTTACTTGATTCTAAGATAAGGTTTTTCTCCCCATTTAATAGGGGAGAGCCCTTTGTCTTAGAATCACTTATGATGGTGATCGAGGGCAGGTGTCTGCTGAGGTTTGGGTTCCAGCCCCTACCTGGCCTGCCACCTGTGCGCTCCATCAGCTTAAAAGCGATGTCTGTATTCAAACTCTAAATGAAAGAAGAAGCTAGATTACTGATGAAACAGTGTTAAACCAAAGGACTACAGCTATTTACCTTGAACTTTTTACCACTCATTGTCTCCATTTCTGATTCTTTGCCAATGGTGAATTTGTTGGTCATGGACTGCCCTCCTGGATAATGTTGAGACCAAGTGAATTCTTCTCCATTCTGTACCACTTCAGTGACTATCTTGAAATTTCTTCCCTTTTCAATGACATCACTGGGGAGACCTTAGACAATAAAAACATATACATCCTTTTAAGCTAATATTCTAAGAAACATTTATTTTCAAATTTAAGCAAAGCAATGGTGTACATTGCATGTGTGCATATGCTAACTCTGAAATACGGATGTCAGAGGGCATAAACCAAAACTTTTTTTTGCAATGGTGTCAAAGTTCAGAGATCAAAATATTGATCACCTGGAAGTCCTGAGATGACGTTGCTGTAGCTACATTTGATACAGTTCAAGAGCTCTCATTGTTTCCTTGGAAAGTGCCCATGTCTAAAGAAAACACTCAGCTTTTTTTCCCTGCCCAGACAGCATGCAGTTACATGAAATTACGTATATACAAGTATAGGCTTCTGTGCTGTGTAAATCCAAATAACTTTAATTTCTATTTCCAGATGCCATTTAGAGGGATGAACACGAGCACATAAGTCAACCTAATGACCTTCGTGGGTTCAGGTTCTAAATGCTTGCCCAGGCCTCCTCCTCTTAGAAGTGCTACAGCTCTACTATGCTTACAAAAGTCTGATGCTGTAGGAGGCAGTCCTAAGTTTGGATATGTACACTGTTGTACTTGTGCAGGAACTAACCAAAAATTGAAAATCTGATTCCATAATATATTGTATCACAAATGTATTGGGGCCTTATTCTGGTGCAGCTGGAAGGAATGTTACCTAATGTGGGAGCAGAAGTGAACAAAGGTGAATAATGCTGTAAACACAGCATTATTCTGAACTGGAATAATTTTCTTGTATGTGGTTCTCCAGGAAGTATAGCTCATTTGCTAATGAGAGGCTGATCCATGAAGAGCTGATTATTATAACAGCTACTGAGCAATTTCCATTGACCTGAGCACTTTGTAGGAAGAAGCCTCTGACCCTTTTATCATTAATCTAATTCATGAAGACTCATTAAAAAAATCTCCAGAATATACTCACCAATGCGCTTCATAAAGTCATCATAATTCTCTTCACTTTCTACTTCATATTTGCCTGTGAAAGCCATGTTGCCTTTTGAGAGCTAAACGAGTCAAAGGAGCAGCTACTGGGATGAAGGTCAGATGGATGGAAACAGGATCAAAGCCATTGGTTTTATAAACCTCTCAAGCTATTCATCCCTCCTCCTGATCATTCCACCATCACCACACCCTCTGAAACTTCCTTTTATGGTCCAAGTACATGAGTCACTAACATAGGTGTTGTTGACCCTCACTGAAGTGCTTGGTATAATTCCATGATGACTCCTGTCCTTGTTTTATAGTGCAATTGAGAAATACTTTAAAGGAGTGCAAGATGAGTCCTGGGTATTAAAATTTAAAGAAGAATCAGTTAATTAGTTCTTTTAAAGGATAGGAGTTATGTCATATATGTGATGATATATTAGTAACATTTCTCTGTAAGAAAGAAGATACAGAAAAGATCCACAGTTCTGGCCTTGTACCCATGTCCTTCTTCATGCATGCTTGCAAGGATGTGAAATATTGATGAGAACATGGGATTGGGCATTAGGACACATAGATGTCTTACGTGTGGCTCTGCCATGATCTTGTGAGACTCACTGGGTTTTCCTTCTTTGATAAATAGGGATAAAAAATCTAAAGTGTTGAAGATCCCCCAGATAAAATATGGTGGATCAGTGTAAACCATTATTTTCGTATGATATCCTATTTCATCCCAGAGGTAAATAATGTTTCATATTATGGTTAGCAAATATTCATAAACACCACAAAATGTACATCTGTCCTGGAAAAGGGAAACCATTCACTTTGGGCCACAACCTAAAAGTGGGTTGCAAGAATATATGAAAGGGTAGTGAATACATTTTAAAAATGGATCAACAAACTTAAAAAAATGGATTCTCCTTTAAAGGAGAAAAATGTGGGAAACCGTGGCTTTTCCCTTGCAAGTTGGCAGAGTTCCAGCCTGCAAGGGGCTGCTTGGGGTCCCCTCTGCCCCACGTCCCCTCCACCCCGCACACTGAGGAGCTGGGGGCGGGGGACAGCGGGTGGGGAGTGAAGGGCACCGAGTTGAGACTGGACATTGATGTTTATAAATGGGTCATAGTAGAAAAAAGGTTGAGAACCGCTAGTTTAGAGTTCATAGAAAAGGTGTCTCTGTCTTAGAAGTAAATTGTCATACAGACATAGCAGCTAATGTAAATCAGCATGGCTGCAGCACCTGAGGATCTGGCCCAGCAGTTTGTCTTCCACACCAAATTGTTAGTTGTTCAGTGGGAGCAGTCTCAGAATAAATCATGTGAGACCAAACCTAATTTACAGATCTGTGTGTTTATGGTAACATTTAAAGAAAAATACAGCAAGCAAGCAGTAAATAAACAGCATGTACTCAGCATGAGGGATTTTGTAGCAAGATGATCAAAATATTCTTGTGCTATAAGATGTAAGGGAGACTTCATTTCTCTGTATTTCTTAAATACCAAAAATTAATCCCACATGCTAGTGTAAGACTGTATCTGCTTCGTTCACAGGTCAGAGAAAGAAGTGTAACTAAGTGGGTTAATTAAGAGCTATAAGAAACAAAGTTTCAGTCAAGTCCATCACTCCCCCATGCTGAGTAATCACAGGAAACAAATTATGCTGAATACAATTATTTAATTTTAATTGATAATCCACACTCACTAGGAGAGAAAAACAAAGACCTAAACTCCCTTCCAGTACCTGCTGAGAGAAAATCTCATTATACTCCAAATCTTTTAGTGTTACAATCCTGCATAATTTAAAAGAGAAAAAGTCTCTAAGATTGAACACCTACACCCATTTATACTTGGAAATACCGCTTGATTGTAGGTGAAAATGCATTTAAGGAGCTGTCTATTTGGTAGACCCAGGCCTATGAACCTACATACCCTTGTTGGGCGTTGTGCAACAAAGGAAGCTGCAATGGTTTGGACGCATCATGAGACGGCTGGGCACCCTTGCCAACACCATAATGCAGGGTGCAGTGGAGAGAAAGAGAAAAAGAAGTAGACCCAAGAAGAGCTGGGGAACCAATATTAAGGACTGGAAGGAGCTTCAGCTGACAGTGTGTGCAAAGCTAACTGAACACAGGACAGAGTGGAAGCATGTTGTTACAGCATCTAAGGTGCCCCGATGGTCTCAGTGACCTCGGGACTGATTTGACTACTGGGTAGAGGTGGGGATTGAGAGTTACGGACATTGGACTGCATTCCTAATTCACTTAGTTTCTTTAGGTGATGGTGTGTTAAACAGACAAACAGCAAAGCCAAACCCCCACAACCCTTAACTATAAAGTAAACAAATTATTACTGCATCTTAGTCCTGTAGACTCTGTTGGGACGTTCTAAGCGTTCAGTCCTGAAAGAGCTTGTCTCACAGCTGGGAAGATTTAGCTCCTATGGGCAAAGAAAGGGATTGGCCAGCATTTCATCCAGATAATGCTGCTGTAAAGAGAATAGTCTACCCACAGGGTATGGTCAGCTCCCAGAATATTAGAGTACATGTTGCAATCTGAAGTACCCGCTAGCCAGGGATGCACATAATCCTCCTTTTCAGTCATGGGAATGCGCCTTCTCTTTCCTCATCATTCACAGTGAGAAGCAGTTTTCTTTAGAGATTTCAAAATATGTTTTCCGTTGTGCACTGGGTCAGCACGAACACCTTTGAACATTTTTCATGGCTGGGGAAAAGGAGACCACAGCATAACCAATAATTGGGTGGCTGGGGAATTCTTGTGGGATGAGGCAATTCTGAATCTGGAAGAGCAGGAATTAGAGCTGGGTCTCCCAGGTATGTGTCCATCCTATCAGGCGATTCTCTCTCACCTTCTTTCTCTGTCTCCTGCACTCCCCCTGCCCAACCTCATTTTTCTTGAAGTTATTATGACTGAAAGTTTACTTGAAAGTTTTATTTTTGACAAATTGGAATATTCTGGCCAAAAAATGATCTACAATTCCCAACCAGCATGATATGAGATCACTGTTGTCACTGAAAAAGAGGATTTTGTCTCAACCTTTTTAGTTAGAAACTTAAGGTCATGCTTGGTTTTTTAATTACCTACTTCAACACCTGATATCTCTCAGAGACAGTAACTTTACATGGATTTATAGCAATGGAAGGTATCAAAATTTTAGACAGAAATGTGACTTTTTAGGTTGACAATATCCATTTTAAAACATTGCTTTTGGTCTGTGTTTTTAGTCTGTATTCCTGCCAGTAAAAGAATTTTGTGGAACACATTCAGAAATAAATGTGAGAGGGGCATACACAAAGTAAAGTAAATGGAAAAAAGTTCAAACAAATGCTTTGGGATTCCCTTCCACCAATATCAGCTCAGCTTTAAATTGCACCACGCTGTGCAGTTGCTGACTAGCTCCTACTAAAGTCTGACATTACAAAAGCCATGCCATCTGTTGTCTGAATGTAATAAAAAGTATGTCTCTGTACGAGAAAGTGAAGGCAGTCATGTATCTTTCCTTAATGAGTGTTCTCCACATTCTGTGACTAGCCTTAAAAAACACAAAGACATGTGCATAATTGTACATTTCTGTGTTATTTGTACTGGCACAAAATTTGAGAACTAGGAAACTCCTTCTGTTTCTTAAAGGAGCTGCCCTTGCCTGCAATAGTGGTGTAGTAGTAAGTAAATCTGTAAAAGGCTGTAGGCCTTTGCTGTCCCATTCCATTGCAGCTTCATTCAAACATCTTGGGTACATCTACATGTGAAATTAATTCAAAGAAATAAATTCCAGCGCAGCATGTTGAGCCAGACTGGAACAGCCCTGGCTGGCAGGGGACCCAGGGGGTCAGGTTGCCAGCCCAGGGCTGCTCTGACCCAGCTCAATGTGATATGGAGAGGCTGGCTGGGACACAAAGGTGCTATGGTGCAGAGCTAGCCAGCAAGCAGCCAGCCCCATCAGCATCAACACCCATGCTGTTGCAGAGTACTTTACTCCACCACAGGATAGTACTTGTTTATACAGGTATTTGTATACGTACAAGTAAGTACTAGCCTGCAGTGGAGTAAATTAATTTACTCTGACCTAATAGTATTGCACATGTAGACACTGACATTTTATTGTGGAGCTAATTAGCCAGTAAATGTCTCATGTAGACCCATCCACTTAGTCTTATCCAGTTAAACTATATCATTGTAAGATCTGTTTCTTGTCAGTAATAATCCATCGTTTATATCTTATTTGTGAGCCCTTAGTTAAGCTTTTGTCTTCACCTGTCTTTTGTATGTGCACTCTTGTGACTAATTAAAAGTAATAATTGATCAGGAGTTGCATCTCTCTTCTTCACGTTTGACCTTCAAAATATAACTAATGACATCAGCCCCAGGCTAGCTTCTACAGTGTCAGAGCAGAGCATTTAAGGCCTCTGTCTTGCACTGGGTCCTGCATGTTCTAGATGGAAACCTCACCTGCATAATGCAGTGGAGAAGGTAAATGAACTCGAGCCATGAACTTTCCCGGTTTGCACAGAACTTACAAAGGCAATCTCCCTGGTGTAGTAATATAGTACGAAGAACCTTGAAAATCAGATCAGTTGACAGATAAAGAAAAGCACTGTGGCTCTAGGAGAGAGTTGGGAAAGAGATAAGCAGATTATGTGCAGATACATGACTTCCTTATGTAGCTATCTCTGCAGGAATCAAATTACAGCAATCGCTTGCTACAACTCTTGGCATGCTAAAGCAAAAAGATGATATCTGCACAAGTTTACAAGGCTTGGGGCTTGTGTGTGGGGGGAGGTTAACACACAGTTTGTGAGGATGCAAATGTACACTGGTCCACTACTTCATGCTGTCTCAGCTATGTGGACCCCTTAGTTGTCTTTCCAAGTGGAGTAAGTTACCTTTCACATAGGTGAGTGGCATTAACAGACTCAGTATAAAGACTAGCTGGTGCACTGCAAATTCACACCCTAGATTCTGCACACTAACATTTCTGTGTATATAAGCCCCTGATGAAATTGCGTTGCTGTGTTCCTGAGTTTTTTGTTATTGCTACAAATCTCTGGTCACTTTTGAAGAGTATTTGCAAATTAAGCGTTTTGTAAAGTAATCTCCCAAAACCATCCAAGTTGCTACCGCTCTGGTTTCAGTGAAGCTGTTCTCTGTACCCAACAGTATTAGATTTTGACAGTTCAAAGTGCTCTTGATTTCCATGCCTCTGCAGAGAGGGAAGTGGAATTTGAATGCTACATTAGCTCCATGCCAGCACACTTCTGCAAGAGTGAGTTTCACCCTTGGAAGCATAAACACAGAGGTAACACAGAAGATCCAAACTTTATTAAAAATTCTGTACACATTCTTGCT